TTTCAAAAAATGTTATTTTTTGGTCAATATTTCATATTCTAAAATATCTATGAAGACTCAATTATAATCAGGAGCGTATTTATAAATGTCTTATGGGAGGGGGGGGGGTAGAAACAAAAAGTTCAAAGTATACATAGTTATAACTTTTCCATCTCAACAAAACTGTCGTTATTCATAACCAAATAATTAAAACACAAGTGCTTGATAGAAACATAAACTTTTATCACACAAATTTATAATAAAACATATTTTTAAATATAATTTTTTTAATTACAATAACTGAAGACGTTTGGGGTGTTTATTAGCATATGCATCAACTACTTCTTCAGGTCTTATAATTATTACAGGGTGTATATTAAGGTGTATTCAGGGTGTATACAATGGTAATCCGTTTAATCGATGGTATTATATTATCATGATATATTGATATTCCAGTATTTCACCGTGTGCCGTGCGTGAAAAAGGGCCTACAATAATAAATTAAGTATAAAATACGTTGATTGGGGGGGGGGCACAGACTCCGTGAGCCCACCTCTTAAATACGTCTCTGATTATAATCATTATTATCAATAGGTACCTAGGTGTTTAATGTTTATTGTAGTAATGAAGTGTACCATTAAGCAGTATTTATAAATAATGTACAATATATAATGACAGTTAATCACTAAAATGTTACAGAAAAAAAAAATGAAAATTGCTCTGTACGTATCAGGACGAATACAGAATACATAACAAAATATTTTAAGTTAACAATATTGTTTTCCATATAATATTAATTTGATGATTTTCATTATTTTATAAGTGGTTACGACTTTACGGGTTCCAAAAGTGAAGTAATAACTATTCAGCGTATGAGTTACGAGTGTATACTAAAATCAAATACCTACTATATTTGGAACTTTCATGAAAAAATAAGAAATTAAGTTTAAAAATATCAAAAATATTTTCCCGACATGAAAATACAAATAAAATGACATACCAAGAAATAATAATTACTTATTAATAATACACGAATAATGATTATTACAAAATCTATATGTATAAAAGAAAGTCAGGTTATTTACAGAATGTATAATTCAAGGACGGCTGGACCAATTTTGATGATCTCTGATTTGTTGTACATATATATTCCAATAATTGAATGTATATGGCGTGTTAAAGTTAACATATTTTATCTACAACAAAAAAAAATTTAAAGGTAAAATTTAGTCGTTATCAAAGTTACAAAGTTGATTATTGTAATTTTTGAGTGAAGTATTAAATAGAATTCAAAATGTTGTGGAATGAAAAAACAAATCCCGTTATACCGACATAATTGTTGTAAAAAATTGGTAAAAATTTCCAAAATGTATAATATTTTAAGATTTCTATTATAGATATACTAAAAAAATATTTCCATTTATCATATAATGCAATTAATCTTAAAATCAGCACTAATGTGGAAAATAATGCAGTTAGATAGTACTTATTGAACACAAAAGTTTAGTTTTAAAGCGGATTTTTGTGCTGGTAGTCAGTCCGTTACGTGAAGTTAGCGGAGAAAGGTAAGCCCCCCCCCCGTAACTTTTTATTGGTCTTGGCACTAATTTTGAAAAT